GCTGCTTACTCTAAGTTCATATTTCTTGCCATCTTTAGTTACTTACGGTAAAGTTTAGATTATTGAGTTCAGTTCTTCTTTTCTAATATATATACTCAGTGCCATAAATTCTGTCCCTAAGGACTTGCCACATTTAGTAAGTGGTGCTTTCTTTTTCATCTAGTTCAAAATATTTTTTGTTTTTGTTTTTGTGGTTTTTTTGTACCGGGGATCGAACTCGGGTCCTGCGCTTGCAAGGCAGGCGGCAGAACCACTAAGCTAAATCCCCGGCCCTAGTTCAAAATATTTTTAAATTTATCTTGAGAGTTTTTTTCTTAGCCCTATGTGGAGTTTTTGTTTTAGAATGTTTTTCAATCTCTAAATTTTTTTTTTTTTTGGTACCAGGGATCAAACTTGGGTCCTTGCACTTGTGAGGTAGACGGCAGAACCACTGAGCTAAATCCCTGGCCCTCAATCTCTAAATAATTGATGATTTTCCAGTTACACTATCTTGATGGCTATTCCATCAAGCTTGTATTATCATAAGCTTAAGAAGAATGTGGGGCCGGGGATTTAGCTCAGTGGTTTCATCGGTTGCCTCGAAAGCACAAGGACCCAAGGTCGATCCCCAGTACCAAAAAAAAAAACAAAAAAGAAGAATGTGTATTCTGCTATTGTTGAATAAAGCGTTTTGGTTTTTTTTGGTACTGGGGATCAAACTCGGGTCCTTGAGCTTGCTGGGCAGGCGACAGAACCACTGAGCTAAATCCCCGGCCCAATAAAGTATTTTTTAAAATGTGAATTAAATCCAGGTGATGTGTGACAGTGATTGATTAAATATGTCCATATTGATTTTCTGTCTTCTTAATCTGTTGGTTTCTCCAGAAAAGTGTTGAAGTCTCCAACTATAGTAATGTATTTGACTGGTTTTTTTTTGCATTCTATCAGTTTTGCTGTGTACATTTTGACATTTTGTTGTTAGGCACATACTTATTAAGGATTATTATATCTTCTAGGAGAATCAATGCTTGTATCATTGTATAATATTCCTCTTTATCCTTGCTAACCCTCTGGCTCTGAAGCCTACTTGATCTGAAATTAATACAGCTACTTCAGTTTTTGAAGTAGTCTTAGAATAGCATGCCTTTCTCTGTCCCTTTACTTTTCTTTTTTTCTTTTTTTAGGTTTTTGAAACAGGGTCTTGCTATGTAGTCCAAGTTGATCTCAAACTCACAGCGATCCTCTTGCTTCAGCCTCCCGAGTGTTAGGATTGTAGGCATCCACCACTATCTCTTTACTTTTTTAATAGACTTTATTATTTTTTTTAAATAGAACCAGAGCAAGGCCCAGGGATTTAGCTCAGTGGCACCACACCTGCCTGGCAAGCGAAAGGTCCTGAGTTCAATCCCCGGCACTGGGGAAAAAAAAAAAATCTGAGCAGAAAGTACAGAGAATTTCCATATGTCCTCTGCTCCCACACATCCACAACCTTCCACCATTGTCAATATCTGATGTAGGATACATTATTATCACCCAAAGTTCACAGTTTACATTAGGGCTCTCTTTTCGTGTTGTACATTCTGTAGGTTTTGACAAATGTATAATGACACATCTACTATTATAGTACTATCTTAGAAAATACTTTCACTGCCCTAATAATCCTCTGTGCTGTGTCTATTCAACACCCCCTCCCAACCCCTAGAAACCACTGATATTTTTATTGTCTCCATAATTTTGCCTTTTCCAGGATGTCATATAGTTGGAATCCCCTTCCCTGCAATGTCTCTACTCCTTCATCCAACCCATTCCTTTACTTTTAATCTGTATGGTTAAAATTACATTATTAAAAGCTGGGTGTATTTAACACATATGTATAATCTCTGCTACTCAGGCGGCTGAGGCAGAACGGTGTCTTAGTCACTTTCCTAGTTGCTGGGACACCATACCCAAAAACCAACTTAAAGGAAGAGTTTATTTGGCTCACATTTTGTAGAGGTCTTCATCCATTGTTGGCTTGCTTCAGGGTAGAAGCAGTGTAGTGGAAGGGCACGGGCTGAGGAAAGCTGCTCAAGTCATGGCATTCAGGAAGCAGAGTGAGTCAAGAAAGGATCCAGGAAGGCAGATAAACTCTTCCAGGTCACACTCACATTGACCTGCTTGTTTTGACCAAGTCCCCAACTCCTAACAGCAAGTCAGCTATAATGCCCCTATATTCTGATCACCTTCCCAAGGTTCCCACCTGTGGCTACATGAGGCTTTATGGGGACATCTAGATATAAACCCTAACAAAGGGTCGCAAGTTTGAGGCCAACCTTGACAACACAGCAAAACCCCATCTCAAAAAAAATATATATATGTCTTAGAAAATTTTTTTTTAAATATAAACTTCATTGTAAAAAGAATTAAGATCTGTTAGGTACATGTACCAACTCCCCACAATGAATGTAATCATTATATTCAGTAAACATGTACAAATAAACATAAAATAAAATATAAACTTATTTGGCTGGGCGTGGTGGTGTATGCCTGTAATCCCAGCACTTGGGAGGGTGAGGCAGGAGGATCACCATGAGTTCAAGGCCAGCCTGGGCTACATAGTGAGTTCGAGACCAGCCTGAATTACAAAGCAAGACCCTATCTAAAATATGTATTTATTTTGTTTTGTTTTTGTTTTTGGTACTGGGGATCAAACTTGGGACCTTGTGCTTGCAAGGCAGGCACCGGAACCACTGAGCTAAATCCCCAGCCCTTTATATATATTTTTAATGACATTTTTTCACCCATTTGTCATTCGTTGGTTTATTTATAACACATTTAAAATGATTATTGATATAGTTAATATGTTTGTAACTGTTTTCTATTTGTTACACTTGTTTATCTTTCCTTTTTCTGCCTCTGCTAGTTCTAATTGAGCATTTTATATAATTCCATTTTTAGCATTATCAGTTATACTTTTTAAAAATTAATTAATTAATTTTTGGTGGTTGCCCTAGAGTTTTTAGTGAACATTTACAACCAATCTAGGTCCATTTTAAATAATACTATATTGCTTCATACATAGTACAGGTAACTTATTACAGAATATTCCCAATTTCTCTCTTCCATGCCTTATACCATTATTACCACTTATTTCATTTATTTATTTAAAAGCTATAATCACCTAATGCATTGTTATTGTTTTTAGCTTGAGGAAAAAGTGATCTCTTAGGTCAGTTCAGATATTTTTTGTAAGGCAGGTCTACTGGCAAGAAATTCCCTCAAGTGTTTGTTGGTTGGTTTGTTTTTGTCTTTATTTCACCTTCACTTTTGAGGCACAGTTTCCCTGGATATAAATTTCTAGGCTGAAAGTTTTATTTGTTGTTTGTTTTAGATGGGGTCTTGCTCTGTTTCCCCTCTTGCCTTAACCTTCCAAGTAGCTGGGATTACAGATATGTGTCACCCCACTCATCTTAGTGAGGTTTTGTTATTCAGCACTTTAAATATTCCCCTTTATCCAAGAAATTTGAAGCTGGGGCGTGGTGGTACATGCCTGTAATCCCAGCACTCTAGGAGGCTGAGGCAGGAATATTGCGAGAGAGTTGGAGGCCAGCCTGGGCTACACAGTGAGTTCAAGGTCAGCCTGAAGTATATAGCGAGACTTCGTCTCAAAAAAAGAAAAATTAATTAATTTTTTTAAAAAGAAACTTGACTTATAGTATTATAGAAACCTAAAGTAATTCTTAAATTTTTTCCTTATAAGATGTCCTAATTACTTTCTCATTGCTAGGACAAAATACCCAACACTCACAGGTTAAAGGAGGGGTTTACTTTGACTCATAAATCATAAAGAGGTTTCAATCCATAGTTAGCTGGTGGCATGGTAGAAGGGCATAGCAGCAGAGAACAGTTCATGGCAAATCAGGCAGGAAGCAGGGAGGAATCAAGAGAGTAGGAAATATATATACTTCCAGGCCACGCCCACAGTGATCCACCTCTTCCCACTAGGCTTTACCTCCCAACATCACACCCAGCTATAAGCCCATTAGTGGACTTTTCCAGTATCACACACCCATGATCAAGTGTCAAACACTCATGATTAATCACCTCCTGAAAACTTCACCTGGAGGGCAGGGCATTTAGCTCAGCGGTTCTGCTGCCTGCCTTGTAAATGCAAGGACCTGAGTTCAATCCTCGGTACCAAAAAAAAAACCCAAAACAACAAAACCTCACCTGGGGCCGGGGATTTAGTGGTTCCACCAGGGTCCCAAGTTCAATCCCCAGTACCACAAAAAAAAAAAAAAAAAACCAACCTCACCTATGAGGTAACATGAGGCTTTGGGGGACATTTTAGATATAAACCATAACATAAGGTAGGGATTTCCCCCTGACTTTTCAAGATTTTCTGTCTTCGGTTTTCTTCATTCTGAGTATGTTATGCTTAAGTGTAGATATTTGTTGTTTATCTTGGTGTTCCCTGATCTTCATGGATCTGCGATTTGGTATCTTAAATTTTAGAAAATTTTTTCCTCTTCCTGTGTCTCATTCTTCTTCCTCTTCCTCTTCTTTTTCTTCTTCTACTTCGGTATCTTTCATTAATTTTGGAAAATTCTTCACTGTTATTATTCCCAGCTTTTGTTGTTGTTGTTGTTGTTGTTGTTGTTGTTGTTGTTATTAAATTCTCTTTACTACTACTGGTCTCTAACTTTTTCCTGTGTATTACTCATAATTATTTAAAATCTTACTCTGATAATTTCAAATTTTCTGCTGTCTCTGAGTCTGGTTCTGATGTCTGCTTTGTCTTTTGAGACTATATGTTTTTTGTTTCTTGTTGTTGATTTGTGCTTTTTGGCTTTTCCTTTGGTTTTATTTTACCTCTTACCATGCCTTGTAATTTTTCGTTGAAAGCTGGGCATATTGTATTGAGTATTGGAAATGAGCTGCATAAGTTTATAGTGTGAGGCTTTATTTATCTGGCATGGAGTTCCTAGAAATTCCTTAAATAGAACCTGTATCTTGCAGCTCTCATGGTTTATAATATACTATTATTATACTGGGGCTGTATTGATGTGGTGGTAAAGTACTGAGGAGGAGAAACATTCTATAATCTCATGATTAACTTTCTTTTTTTTTTTTTAATTTTTCTGGTACCCGGGATCGAACTCGGGACCTTGCACTTGTGAGGCAAGCACTGGAACCACTGAGCTAAATCCCAGGCCCTTAACTTTCTTTTTTGGTGGTGCTTGTGATGGTCCAGAATTCCTGGAGTGTAGTACAACTCCTGGGCTTCATTATCTTCTACCAAAAGAGTTCCTTAACCTGTGGGCATAGGACAGGGGAGGGACACAATAGAGGGAACAGATGTTGAGTAATTCCTGCTTTGCCCCCAGGTAAGATAATGCTCTAGTAAAATAGATTTTCTTGAGGGCAAGGTTTAGTTATGGGGAAATGAATGATCACATATTTTAAAATGATTACTCCCCTCCTCCCCAAGCCCAGAAAACATAAGATATTATCTCCACTGAGGATCTTTATCCTGAGAACCTGGAGGGACCCATTCATGTAAAAATAATAAATGTGTGAACCTTACTACCATCAGACCTCCAGGAGTTGTAACTCTCAAGCTTGGCACACTCAGACCCCAGCAGCATGACAACTACCTTGCAAATGTGTCTGACAGTAAACACTCCAGGGGCCTCTGGTCCAGGTCAGCTGTGGCTTTCTTTCTTGATCTCTCAGTTTTCAGGGTAGGGTCCTGTGACCTCAGTTCTCTGATAGGTCTAAGAAGAGTTGTTTCTTTTCAGCTTTTCAGTCTTCTTATTGTGAGCACAGGTGTGTCAGCCTCCAAACTCTGTATGTTGGAGCAGAAAACAAATCCTGTCTACTTTTTGTAATTAACATTTTGGGAAGAGTATGGATTTTTTAGAAATTATAAAATTAATAGTTGTATAAAGAAAGTCACAGCCAGACATGATGGCACACACCTCTAATCCCAGCACTCAGGAGGGTGAAGGAGAAGGATCCCCATGAGTTTGTACATAGTGAATTCGAGGCCAGCCTGAACTACATAGTGATACCCTGTCTCAAGAAAAGAAAAAGAAACTCACAGATATGTTTCTGTGCAGGTTGAAAGAGCAGAACCTAGTAAAAGAGCTGAGGCCCCGAGACCTTTTGGAAAGCAGCAGTGACAGCGATGAAAAGGTCCCTTTGACCAAGCCTTCTTCACTATCCAAGCGCAAACTTGAGCTCGAAGTAGAAACAGTGGAAAAGAAGAAGAAGGGGCGCCCTAGGAAAGATTCCCGCCTTCTGCCCATGTCACTCTCTGTCCAGGTAAGGCCCACAGCCATTCTGCCCCACTTCCCTGAGCTCAATTCTGGGAGGCCCTGCATGCCATACTGTGCCTCATTAGTGTGGTACACCTTAGGGACCAGCTGGCTCAGATGCAAACACCATGCATCATCACGTGGTGGCCTTGCTTCCTTTACCTGCACTCCAACCCAAACCCTTGAGCCCCTCTGGTGTCAGCTCCCTTGTCTGTGAGTTAGAGGTCTTTGTAGCATCCCCTGTGCTCTTCCCCTCACAGAGTAAGTAGAAGTGCTCTGGTAGCAGGCCAGCCTCACCTCTGAATACCTAATGATACCCAGTAATACTGGCCTGAGACTCAGGAACATTTCTGGCTCTTCTAGTCCCCAGCTGTCCTGACTGCGGAAAAAGAGCCCATGTGTCTGTCTGCACCAGCACTTGCACTGAAGCTGCCGATTCCAGGCCCCCAGAGAGCATTCACCCTCCAGGTAAGTGCTGGGACCCTCCACCAATTCCCTCACAGGTGTGTGTGCGTGTGCACATGCACACCCCCCCATTATAAATCTAGTATTTCCACTGCTTTTGGGGACTGTTATCCAGTGCCTCTCCATCCCTTTCTGGAAGAAGTCATAGCTGATGAGAGTACTTACCAAGTCTTGAGAAGAGTGCTAGCCTTGGCTGGGCATGGTGACGCATGCCTGTGATCTCTATACACAGGAGACTACGGCAGGAGGATCTCCAAGAGTTTGAGACCAGCCTAGGCTACATAGTGAATTCAAGGCCAGCCTGAAATGTGTACCAAGACCCTTTCTCAAAACAAAAAAAAGAGTGCTAGCCTCCTTTCCTCACCCTCATAGCCGGCCTCCCCGCTTCCCTGGTATCAGGAATCAAACTCAGGACCTTGCATTTGCCAAGCAGACTTGGTGCCACTGAGCTAAATCCCTGGCCCCTTCATAGCTCTTTTTGTGGCATTGCCCTTGATGCACCAGCTGCCAGGGCTGCATTTACAATTACATCTTCTAGATGTCCACCTCCTTTTAAGACTTGTCTCAGGTGTCCCTTCTAGAACTCTCCTGCATCTCCACACTCAGTCCTGGCAGCATCAGGCTCCAGACCCAGGGGACTACATGGTCATGGTCTGTCTCCCTATGGTTCCATTGGCCTTGTCTACTTCTCAGGGCCTGACAGAGTCATCATCAGATCTGTTGGACCTCTTGTAACAGTAAGCTTCAAACACAATCCTAGTGAAGATAATCCCTTATACCCAGAGGCCCTCTGGTCAACACCATGTCCATGCCTCAGCCATCATGATGTCTTTGCACATGCTCTCTCCTCTCTACACACCCTTCGTACCTAACCCAGGTGTATGTCCTCTGGCAGCTTTCTTGGACCCAGTGTATGGGTCAGCTCCCATTGGCCATGCACTGCTCCAGATCTAGGCTGGCCCTCACAGGGCACTGGAGTGCAGGCATCAGCCCATCCCAGCCATGGGCCATGATGCAGAGGAATGGAGCAGGTAGAGTCGATGGATGAGACCCACATAGTTTGTTCTTGTTACTGATATGAGTGGAGGCAGGTGGTGCCTCCAGCAGTCAGCAGCTACAACTCCTCTCCCAAACTCCAGCCCTTCTCAATATCTTCACTGCAGGGTGCTACTTGAGACTGTACTTGGTTTCTGAGTGTCTTTGAAGGGAACATGGCTTGTGGCTGCAGTTCACACTCTTGTGTAGCCACAGCTTACACTCTTGTGTAGCCACAGCTCACACTCTTGTGTAGCCACAGCTCACACTCTTGTGTAGCCACGTGGTACAACGATTCAGCCTGAGTTTCCATACTGAATTATCTCTTGGTAAGCTCTGTAAACACACAGGCTTAAGCCTCTCTGGTGCCAGACACTGAACTCTACATTTTTTATTCATGCTGTGCTGGGATGTTCTTCCAGTATAGTCTCAGTTGAACAGACTGAGGCTTACAGCCACAGGAACTAGAGAGCACCTTAGAGTTTTCTAGGTTTTCCTCCCAGCACCACCATGGGCTCTCTTCTTATCAAATACCTTAGTCTTTGAAGATTTTCGACTAGGAGGCTATAAGCAAAGTCTCACTCCAAGCTCTGTCCTTGGCTGCCTATAGTCCTTACTCACAGTGTGTTCTCCCCAGTAAGATGATAGGGCCCTCTTGCCACCCCACCAGCTGTCACCCTCCTATTTTGGCCAGCCAGCTACCCTGTATCTCTGTGTCTCTGTATCCCTGCTTTAGAGCCCAGGGCTACAGAATCCTTGAATATCTCACTGGTCCCAGGACCCCTGTCTGAGCAGTCCTGCTATCACCTGAAAAGATATGTTTACTCTCTTTCATCCAGGTGAGCTCTGACCCTTCCATGTACATTGAGGTAGAGAATGAAGTGACAGCTGTGGGGGGGGGGGTGAAACTGAGCCGCCTGAAGTGCAACCGCGAAGGCAAGGAGTGGGAGACAGTACTCACCAGCCGTATTCTCACTGCTGCCGGCAGCTGGTAAGTATGGCCTCAGTCTCAGCTTGTCCTAGAGAGAGGTACCCTGTGCTAAGCTGGCTGGCACTGTTACTTTCCTAGAATGCAGCCTTTTTGAGGGGAGGATGCCTCCCACAGAGGATCACACTGGGTTTTACTCGGGGCCAAGCATGTATATTTATCATCTAACGTTCCTGCAATATCCAATGAAGTCATTCTCATTACCCCTATGTTATAGATGGGGAATCTGAGCACTTGAGAGGCACCCAGATAAGGCTGGAGGTTTTATGCCCTTGCTTGGCCAAGATTCCTGAAGACTGACTCTCCTTGTGGGTTCTTTCTCTGGACCCCAGATTTTCATCCAGGGTGGTCAGGATGGGTTTCTGACTATTCCAGGTCTCTACTTTTGCCCTCTCCAGATTCTGTGCTTTGGGGAAAAATCTTAATTTAATGGTTAATCACTTGGTATCTTCTTGGAGGCTCCTGGCAATGAACAAGAGCTCTCTCTTCCCTGTAATCAGTCTAAAGAGAAGATTCATTTTCTTCAGGCACCTGCCAGCCATAGGTCCCCAGTCAAGCATGTGGCACATTCTCTTACCAGGATTTTACAGTGATCATCACTCACATACAGTCCTTTTCATTAGGGCCTTAGCCGTCTGTCATAAAGTCATATGTAAATGTTTTTATATATGTCTGGAAACACTGATCTTAGGGCTTAGGTTAGGAATCCCATTGTCCACTGGTGGCGAACCTATGGCACATATGCTGCAATGGGCTGTTATCATTGAAAGCTCTAAAAGGCTTGCCATCACTGCCATAGTCCCTAAGTGAATTTGTATTGTTAGGCTAGTAGGGTCCTACCAGTCTGTTCCTCTATGCATTCTCCCTCAAAATGAATGCACTGAGCTCCCAATCCCAGGTGCCTGTGTGTTGGGTGCTGCCATCAGCTCCCACTCTCATTCTTGGTCCCAGGACTACTAAGTAGTATCCCCTAGCTGAGGCCCAGTGATGTCTGCACAGCCTCTGCTGTAGCAATACAGCAGCTATTGAGGGGGCCTACCGGGCAACCAGGGCCTGTCAGCCTGTGTAGTCCCACCTACTCAGGCTCCACCTATAGTCCTACTCCCTGGTGTTGCAGCCCAGTGTGACAGCTTTCTTCACAGTGGCTTGGTTCAAGGAAGGACCTGACCAGAGATGAGCAGACAGAATTCAGCTGTAGCACCACAGAGAGCTCCCTGTTCCCGAGTGAGTCCTGCTTAAAGTTTTTGCTGATTCACACTTTCAAAATATGTTTATAAACAAAAGCACCTCATTGCCTCTTCCTTTTTGGAGGAAGACGTCTTGTTAGGAAGGAGTTGGCAGGCTCACTCCTTAGGTGACCTTACTCTGGGCCTATTGACAGTAGGGGTAACTCCATTCATCCATTCAGAAGGGTAACTCCATTCATTGGCCTGACTCACCAGGATAGAAATCATGAAAGGACACTGTGTGTAGTCATCTGTGGGCAAGACCTGGTTATTCTGGTTGCACACCTGCTTCCACTGCCTGGGGCCTGAGCTCCAATCGTTCCCTGCACCTATGGTTGCACTTTGGTGGGCCTTCACTGGGAAGCCAGCAGCCTGCTTGTTCTGTGCCTGCCTAAAGAGCCTAGTGGTCACTCAGAAAAGGGACCAGTGTCCAGACACATAATCTCTCATGAAGCACTCCTTGCTTGGAGAGTGGTGTGCCTCTCCCATCCCACCCAGAACAGCCTTCTGAGTGCACATCTGGGTGTCTCCTGAGAGGCTTGTACTGGTACTACCACACTTGTCTCAACCTACCTCTCCAGAGACCTTGTCTGGACTACCCTAGCCAGCCATAGCCAAGTGACTTGCATGGATACTCTGTGGCATCACCTTATGAGTGAGGCATATTTCCTGAGTGGCTGGTCAGGTGCAGTAGCTCTCCAGGGTCCTCACACCACTAAGTTAATTTAACATCAGTGTGACCTCAAAGAAGCACAAGTGGCCCTGTGGGCAGAAGACAGAAGACTCTCATAAGAGACCTCAGGCAGGCTCTGACTGGCCCCTGCTCAGCAGAAGACTGTAAAGCCTTGGTTAGGCCCAGGCATAGGGAAGGCTATACATTAAATAGTCCTAGCCTCTCCTGTAGCGCTCAGCCCCTGTGACACCTGCCCTTTCTCTGCCTTCATAGTGATGTGGTATGTGTTGCCTGTGAAAAGAGAACGCTGTCGGTGTTCTCCACCTGTGGTCGCCGCCTGCTCCCTCCCATCCTCCTGCCATCCCCTATCTCTACTTTGCACTGCACAGGTTCCTACGTCATGGCACTCACTGCTGCAGCAACACTGTCTGTCTGGTGAGAGTCAGGCCCGGCGGGTGGTGTCGGGGGGGGG